GAGGAGGGGAGAGGAGGTTTCTGCTGGGTCAGTGCTATAAGGGCACCTTGGAGGACCGACACTTTTCTCCTTAAGCCCCTTCCTCCTCTGCCCCTCTCCACCTGCCTGTGATCTTCACTCCTCACCCCTGGGGCCACCCCTCTTGACTGCAGTGGGAGCAGGAAGGAGGTGGAGGTGGCATGGGAATACAAGTCTCCAGGGGCCTCAGTAACATACCCCAGCCACATCCGGGTGTTTGAGCCCCTTTCTCACCCTCTCTTCCCCACTGACTCACACCCTCCCCCCAACTCTCTCTCTCTCTCTCTCACACACACACACACACACACACACACACACACACACACACACACAGAATCAGTGGAGGAAGGACCCCATCTCACTGATACCCTGCCTGCTCCAGCTCTCCAACACCTCCCCGCAGGTCACAGGTCACTTCCGCTCACTCCTTGCTGTCTTGCCTGCTCAGTTTCCCAAACCACAGAGATGTGTGAGCTTCTAGGCAGAGACCAACTGCAGCTTGGGCTTCGGCACATCACGCTGCTCCCCACGGTCCTCAGCTGCTCGCGTACCCCACTACCTAACGGGGCTGCCATGCTTTGCTTAGAGCCCTGGTTCTCAGGGCGACATCCCCAGACCAGACAACAACACCTGCCTTGCTTGGCCCTCAGCTCTCTGGCCTCCTATGTGCATGGCACCCACTAGCTGACCTCTGGCTTGATGGCTGTGGGCATATTTCGGATCTTTTCACGTAGAATGGCCACACCAAATGGTGCCTGGGTCAGTGCTGGGCCCACGGGGGCCTAATCACTAGCCTGAGTGACTTCTCCATCCAAGTGCCTTGGGACAAATCTGTTTCCCCACAGGCCACCTGTGTCCCAGCTCCAGCCACCTCATCTTCCCAGCTCTCCTCCCCACCTCTCACTCCTCCCACTTCTGCCTTGCTGGCTTTGAACTCTTGCTCCATTCCCTGCTCTGGCCACCCTCCTCCGCCTGCTCCCCTGCACGAATGGACCCAAGGTCAGTCACTGGGTTCCCTGCAACCTGTCACCCTCCTGCCCTGCCTGTCACAGTGGTGGGCAGGGGCCTGGGTAGACATCCCCCTCATCTGTATCCAGCTTTCTCCTCTTTGGTTCACCTGGGGCTATAGTGTCCAGCAGGGGGTGAGCCACGCTCAGGAGAACAGGCCCAGGAGGTGCATAAGACTGAAATCCAGCCCAGCCATGCCTCCAGTTTGGGACAGCTTCTGTGTGTGTGTGGGAGGGATGCCTTTGGGGATTTGCATAAAGGCTCGCTAGGGGCTAGCGGCAGCCCTGAGTGCATTCCAATCACCTGGCTCTGTCTGCCACCCCCTTCCTGTCCAGCCACCTTCTGTCTGCCTGTCCAGTTACGTGCACATGTTCACCCATCCCAGCCATCCACTTGGAATCACGACCCTTCCCTCTACATTGGCTCCCATGTTCACAATCAGAGAGGCTTCGCGAGGGACCTTGCCTGCCTCCTCCTCCACTTCCCCAGGTATCCAGCTCCCCAGGTACCTGTGTCCTGGCCTAGTCTGCTGCAGGGGGCTACAGGAAGCTGCTCACATCTTGGACTCACTCTCGGGGGGTGGCAGGCAGCCGTTTTGCTCCTTGTCAGCCCCTGCACCCCCCCCACCCGACCCCTCCCCTGAGCCACCCTCCTCCTCCACCTTCTCATCCAGCCGGCTAGGGATGGACCAGTAGAGATGGGCGTCCAGGCGGGCTGCAGCCTCCGCCAGCTCCCTGGCGCTACATGAGGGCGTGGGCACCTCAAAGGTCTGGTGGAAGCTGGCATAGTCCACCTCGTAGAAGCCGTCCTCCAGGGTCAGCACTGATGTGAAGCGGTGGCCCCATAGCACCTCGTCCACCAGGTAGGAGCTCCGAGCTTGGCACGTCATACCTGGGGGCAGGAACAGGGTCAAGGGGGCCCCACTCCACAACCCTTTCTGCCCTCCCTTTCCCAAGGGTCCCACCCTTGGCCCAGCACTTTCACGCCACTTGCCAGCCCCTGCTTCTGCCCAGCTTCTTCTCCTCCATTTGCCCCAACTCCTTTTCAGTTCCAGCCCACACTGCCCACTTCTCTTCACTGGTAATGCCAGGGATCTGGCCATTTGCTACTGAACACATAGAACTTTAACCTTGAAATTGCCCTTAGGCACCATCCAACCCAACTTCCCACTCCAGCAGGGCTCCCCGCTGGACCATCCCCAACTGCCAGCATCTAGCTTCTGCTGGGTCCCCTCCCAGGATTAAGGGACCCACTCCTTCATGTGACTGCTTGAGTAGTTGGATTGCTTTTCTTGACCCAGAACCAGAATCTGATTACTGGGGTCCCCACCCATTGGTTCCATCCCCAGTCCTAAGATCCCCATCAAGGGTCTGAAAGAGGAATCCTTGGCCACCTCATATCTTCCCTTCAGCAGGCTGCGCGTCCCTGGTTTCATCCCCCCTTCTTCATGATTTCCAAAATGCTTCCAAGAGCTTTTTGGCTTGTAAACCAGACGGAGCCAAGGAGGACCACTTTCAGGACTTTGGGGTGTAATAAGCTCTCCCCCTATGGCCCGATCCATGCATACGAGGAGGCCCACCACTGTCTCCTGGCCATGATGCTTTAGTTCAATAAGGTCCCAGATGACATTACATAACCGTCGTTGGAAGCAGCCTCGCACTACTACAACATCAAGCCTCTGGCCAACTCAAACCCTCCGTGCTGTCACCAGAGCTCTCTCCATGCTGTGCTTACATAAGTGTTTTTTTGTTAAAGCCTAAATGTAGAGTTTTATATTTATTCCTCTTAAATGTCATCGTTTTGGGTTTGGGCTCATTATGCTTGCCTTTGAACAGCATCTTGAATCCTGACTCGCTCGCCCCAAATATTAACCGTCCTTTCAGGCTTTGCCTTGCTGGGAAAAATCAGACACGCTCCCTCCCCACCCACCCTGCCCCCCAAATTCTCTATACCTCCTAGCACCCCTACAGGACAGAGCAGTCTCCTCCTTTCTCTGGGTCTCTCTCCCCTCCACCCATATGCACCTCGGAACACAGGGGTGGGGGTGGGGCCAGAGAGTGAACATTATCTAACCAGAGCCTGGCTCTCATCTCCCTGCCCTGGGACATCTTGGGGACATTGGCATTCTTTGTTCCTGTGGTGGAGGCTGGAATGGGAACCTTCGAGTGGGGGTTGGGGGAAGAGAGGATGAGAAAGGATAGAAGCAAGGGACGCTGGGGAGACAGGAGCTGGGGATCCAACGAGAAGAGGGGTCTGCACAGGAGTGTCCCTATAAGGAGGGGCCAGCGTAGGGTAGTGGCTAAAAAGATGTGGCAGCTGGTGAGATATAGGAAAGGGGTGCTTGGGGGAGGGGAAAGAGCTGGGCAGAGCCTGGGGGCATGGTGTCACAAAGGGGGACAAGGAGACCCACTGAGGTGAAGCAGATGCTCTGTTTGCTGGCAGGCAGAGTAGGGTTTGAAGGTAGTAGCTTCTCTGAGAGGCCAGCAGGGGGCAACAGAAACTCAGTGGTGGCAAGAAACTGTAGCGTCCCCTAGTGGACCTGTGGTTCTCCATCTGAAGTCTCTTATTGCACCTCTCACAGCCACATCTCAAATCCCCTGAAATCCCATGTGCCGTCCTTGGACTGTAGGAGCTTTGGTGGCGGAGTGGCCACGCGTTGGGCTGCTAACTGCAATGCCAGAAGTTCAAAGCCAGTTCAGCGGGATGAAGATGAGGATTTCTACTCCCGTAAAGAGTTAATGTTGGAAACTCACAAGGGACAGTTCTACCTTGTCCTATAGGGTCACTTAGAGTTGGCAAAGACTCGATGGCAGTGAGTTTGGCTTTTTGGTCCCTGGATTGGTATTTTCCTATCTGCTTCCAAGCCCTTCACTACGTAGGTCTGAATTGGATGTGTGTTGCCCCCACAAGGGAAGTTGCCAGCTTCTTCCTGGAAGGGTCTAAAAAATGCTAAGATCATTTACTTCCCTTGATATAGACGCTTAGATGGACCCTGAAACTGAGGCAGAAATGGGTTATCAACTTCACCCAAGATCCAGCCTGGAACTAGCTCAGGAATGGAAGAGCCTCACCACCAAACACCAAGACTGTAAGACCTGGCAGCAATGAGGAAACCCCTACGCCTAACCCCTCCTTCCGGCTCGGGACCACTAAACTGAGGCCAGGCTGTCTGAGTCCAGTCCAGGCCAGGGCTGCCTGCCACTTCATTAACTTATGACCGTGGACAATTTACCAACCTTTTCCTTGGGGGAAATCTGCTGTCTGACAGATGAGCACAGTATAGGGTTGTTTTAGGAGTACATGAACTCATGGGTACGAAGCACTTTGCTAGGTCAAGGAGCGGGTCTGCAAGCGAGCGGAAGTCCCTCGGTTGGATGGACTGCACGGTGGCTGCAGCAGTGGGCTCAAACACAGGGCCGCTGGTGAGGGCAGTGTTCTGTGCTATTGCACACAGGGTCCTCCTGAGTCACAAATGACTGCAGGGCATCTAAGAACAACAGACAGCTCTTTAGACCTGCGCTCGGCATGGAACAAGCCAGGTGCCTTCCAGGCCAGGTTCTAACTCCTGGTGACAGCAGCAGCTCTTTCTCCCAGGTGCCAACTGCCAACCTTTAGGCTAGTGAAGGGTTTCAGCAATGTGCCACCAAGGCTCATTTGCTGTTATTCCTCTTCCTTATTTCAAGTGACACCTCTTTGCCCAGGGTCCCAGAACCCTGCCCCCTGCCGTCCAGTCGATTCCGGCTTATCACCCGTCCTGTTGGGCAGAGAACTAACCCACAGGGTGTCTGAGACCGCCAACCTGTACGGAAGCAGCCAGCCTCATCTTTCTCTCGCCCAGCGGGGGTGACTGGGCAACGTTGGCAGCTAGCAGTCCAAAGCGTGGTCCACTGCGTCACCCGGGCTCCTCTGGGCTCAGAGTCAGGGCCGTTCGGAGGCGTTCCTCCAAGGTTTCCTTCGGTTCTCGGCTGGGTCTTTTCTGTTTACCCCTCCTTTCTGGTCCCCCATGTCACCCCAACCTCGAATCTTGTTCCAGGCCTCGCCCCCCACCCCCGCCC